ATTCATATATTATTATTATTATAAAAATATTATAAAATATGTATTTATATTATGATCAAAAACATTTATATATATTTATTTGTATATTATCCTTTCTATAATATTATTATATATGTATTATTCATAACAAAAACATTATTAAAAAGTGTTCATTCATATATAATTATAATTATAAAAAAACTTTAAACTATGTATTTATATTATGATCAAAAAACCTGTCAATATTTATTTGCATATTATCGTTTCTATAATATTATTATATTTGTATTATTAATTACAAAAACATTACTAAAAAGTGTTCATTCATATATAATTATTATTATAAAAAAATTTTAAACTATGTATTTATATTATGATCAAAAAAACCTGTCAATATCTATTTGCATATTATCGTTTCTATAATATTATTATATTTGTATTATTAATTACAAAAACATTACTAAAAAGTGTTCATTCATATATTATTATTATTATAAAAAACTTTAAAATATGTATTTATATTATGATAAAAAAACCTGTGAATATTTATTTGCATATTATCCTTCCTATAATATTATTATATATGTATTATTAATTACAAAAACATCATTAAAAAGTTTTCATTCATATATAATTATTTTTATATAAAGATTTTAAAATAAGTATTTATATTATTATAAAAAAACCTGTCAATATTTAATTGCGTATTATCCTTACTATAATATTAATATATATGTATTATTATTATTAAAAACATTATTAAAAAGTGTTCATTCATATATAATTATAATTATAAAAATATTATAAAATATGTATTTATATTATGTTAAAAAACATTTATATATATTTATTTGTATATTATCCTTCCTATAATATTATTATATATGTATTATTAATAACAAAAACATTATTAAAAAGTGTTCATTCATATATAATTAGTATTATAAAAATATTATAAAATATGTATTTATATTATGATCAAAAACATTTATATATATTTATTTGTATATTATCCTTCCTATAATATTATTATATATGTATTATTAATAACAAAAACATTATTAAAAAGTGTTCATTCATATATTATTATTATTATAAAAATATTATAAAATATGTATTTATATTATGATCAAAAACATTTATATATATTTATTTGTATATTATCCTTCCTATAATATTATTATATATGTATTATTCATAACAAAAACATTATTAAAAAGTGTTCATTAATATATAATTATAATTATAAAAAAACTTTAAACTATGTATTTATATTATGATCAAAAAAACCTGTCAATATTTATTTGCATATTATCGTTTCTATAATATTATTATATTTGTATTATTAATTACAAAAACATTACTAAAAAGTGTTCATTCATATATAATTATTTTTATATAAAAATTTTAAAATATGTATTTATATTATGATAAAAAAAACCTGTCAATATTTAATTGCATATTATCCTTACTATAATATTAATATATATGTATTATTATTATTAAAAACATTATTAAAAAGTGTTCATTCATTTATAATTATAATTATAAAAATATTATAAAATATGTATTTATATTATGATCAAAAACATTTATATATATTTATTTGTATATTATCCTTCCTATAATATTATTATATATGTATTATTAATAACAAAAACATTATTAAAAAGTGTTCATTCATATATTATTATTATTATAAAAATATTATAAAATATGTATTTATATTATGATCAAAAACATTTATATATATTTATTTGTATATTATCCTTCCTATAATATTATTATATATGTATTATTAAGAACAAAAACATTATTAAAAAGTGTTCATTCATATATTATTATTATTATAAAAATATTATAAAATTGTATTTATATTATGATCAAAAACATTTATATATATTTATTTGTATATTATCCTTCCTATAATATTATTATATATGTATTATTCATAACAAAAACATTATTAAAAAGTGTTCATTCATATATAATTATAATTATAAAAAAACTTTAAACTATGTATTTATATTATGATCAAAAAAACCTGTCAATATTTATTTGCATATTATCGTTTCTATAATATTATTATATTTGTATTATTAATTACAAAAACATTACTAAAAAGTGTTCATTAATATATTATTATTATTATAAAAAACTTTAAAATATGTATTTATATTATGATAAAAAAACCTGTGAATATTTATTTGCATATTATCCTTCCTATAATATTATTATATATGTATTATTAATTACAAAAACATCATTAAAAAATGTTCATTCATATATAATTATTTTTATATAAAAATTTTAAAATATGTATTTATATTATGATAAAAAAACCTGTCAATATTTAATTGCGTATTATCCTTACTATAATATTAATATATATGTATTATTATTATTAAAAACATTATTAAAAAGTGTTCATTCATATATAATTATAATTATAAAAATATTATAAAATATTTATTTATATTATGATCAAAAACATTTATATATATTTATTTGTATATTATCCTTCCTAATTCATATATAATTATTATTATAAAAAACTTTAAAATATGTATTTATATTATGATAAAAAAAACCTGTGAATATTTATTTGCATATTATCCTTCCTATAATATTATTATATATGTATTATTAATTACAAAAACATCATTAAAAAGTGTTCATTCATATATAATTATTTTTATATAAAAATTTTAAAATATGTATTTATATTATGATAAAAAAAACCTGTCAATATTTAATTGCATATTATCCTTACTATAATATTAATATATATGTATTATTATTATTAAAAACATTATTAAAAAGTGTTCATTCATATATAATTATAATTATAAAAATATTATAAAATATGTATTTATATTATGATCAAAAACATTTATATATATTTATTTGTATATTATCCTTCCTATAATATTATTATATATGTATTATTCATAACAAAAACATTATTAAAAAGTGTTCATTCATATATAATTATAATTATAAAAAAACTTTAAACTATGTATTTATATTATGATCAAAAAAACCTGTCAATATTTATTTTCATATTATCGTTTCTATAATATTATTATATTTGTATTATTAATAACAAAAACATTATTAAAAAGTGTTCATTCATATATAATTATTATTATAAAAATATTATAAAATATGTATTTATATTATGATCAAAAACATTTATATATATTTATTTGTATATTATCCTTCCTATAATATTATTATATATGTATTATTAATAA